CCCCCCCACAGGTGAACGCGCTCTCCTTCCCAACAGTTTGACTGAGCCCTGGAGAGCCCTGGCTACTCCAACCCAACCCAACTCTTCTAGCCTCTTCATTCGGACACCCTCTCGTATTCCCCTCCTGCTGTTTTCCCCCTCGACTACCGCTGCACCAGCGAGCTGGGGTGGGGGGGGGCTCCCTTCTTTTACCTCTACACTAAGCCTGACAGAACCACAGCAGCTCTAAAAATGCACCCGCCAGAGCCGTCAGTCAAGCCATTTTCACTTCTGCCACAGAAGGAAGTCCTGGATGCGTCTCCTTCCTCGCAGCTCATATATTTTTGCCTTAGTCATCCAAGCTGTCTCCGTTCAAAACCAGCCCACCAGCGAGGCAAGTCTCTAAGAGGGCTCAGAAGACAGAAGTTTATTCAGAAAGAAGGGCAGCTGCTGTCTGCTAAGAGTTGGCTTTAAAGAAGAAACCGGCCTTTTTGGAGTTCCAGGGACTGTTTTGTGTACCCAGGAAGAGGGAGCTTGAGTAACCATGACTGGCAATGGATGGTTTTCCAGCCAGGGTGAAAGCCTGTTGACATTTAACTCAAGGGAACACGGAAACAAATAATAAAGGAGGAATGGCATCACGTCCGGCCTGGGTGACAAGGTAAACATGGGACTACGCTGACCCAGCCACATCATCCTGGTTTCTAAGGTCCAGAGGCAAATTGCTGATAATGGAACTGATAGAGTGTAGAGACCTCCTGCAGGGAATTAATGAATCGGCAGCCTGCCAGGGGAGGAAATACAGAAATGGTTTCCCAACGCTCACAATCCAGGCCAGATTTTCCAAAGCATCCAGTGTATTGGGTGCATGTTGGGTGCCGGGCTCTTTGGAAAGTTTTACTCTCATTGAGGATATGGAAGCCTTAAGAAAATAGGGTCCTATGGCCAATCTGCTCAGTCTTCCAGTAGCCCCAAGGGTGTCTTTAAGCCATCCCTTCAAAATATCTGGCCTCAGTCTCTTTGAAATCTTAGTGCAACCTTTGGATAATGTGTCTGACAAAAATAGCCTCAGGTCATATGTCCTGATGGGCTTGATATTTGCAAGATCCTCTGGGGGGGGGGGAATCTTGGGTGTCATCCCAAACAGCTGAAAACTATAAATAAACTAGAAGACTTAGCTGGCGTTGCCCGGGTTCTTCAGGGCAGGGGGCTGGCAGTGTGGGGGGTGCAGGAGTCAGGGCAGGGCCTTTAGGATGGGGACAGTACAGGAGGTTAGGGGGTGTGAGAGTGAGGGTTGACAGGTGAGAGGGAGCTTGAGGAGATGCATCCCAGCCAGTATGGGCCTTTTCTTTCCCCCTAGCCCCTCCCCCCAGCCACCAACTGCCTTTTCTCTCCCTCTCCCTCTGGCACTGGGAGGGGGGAGAAGGATTTGAGGCTTGGGGGGCACTTACCCAGTGTGCTGACAGGTAAGATGGTGGAGTCCAAACCCTGCTGGATGCTCCCTTGAGGGCTGCTGCCTCCAGTGGTCACTCTCAGTATCACATCCCTCTGAACAGCCTTTACCTTTCCATCTTATTGAAAACAGTTCCTTTGCCAGCACTTCCAGTTTTCCTGGCACAACCAACCCCTGACCTTGCTTTAAGTTAGGAGAAGAGGAAAGTGCAGCGATCCTAGCTCTTAACATTTAGGAGGAGTTTGTGAACAAATGGGCTTGCAGACAGACACACAAATCGCTAAAATATATAGAGACATAATAGTATTTAAATGGATTTACATCTTCAAAATGCAAGACATCACCTTATGGATCCATCCAGCCCCATGCATCGCAGGGAATTACTTACTCCACTGTACAGATGGGGGGAAAGGGCTCAGAATGGTTATGGGTTGAGCTAATTGGGAAATTATTTTTCTCCCTGTAAGAAAAAATTAACAGAAAGTATGTTTATTAAATATTTTCCATTAAAAAAATCAGTTGGATTTTTAAAAATCAAAACACTCCAAACTGGATTGTAATCTTATAGGCACTACAAATTTGGGAAGTTCACCTTTTCTGGTTTTGGTTGCTAAAAGCCTGAATCTTTTTTTTTTTTTTTTTTTTTTTTGCATTTTTTCAATGAAAAGCCACTTGTTCATGTCACAGACGTTTTCATGAATAATTGCATGTCCTCTAACACACACCCCCGTTTTGAATGAAAAAATCTGTACAGAAACATTTCAACCAGCTTTGGGTCTGTGGGGATTTCTAAGGGTGCTCATCACTGCCAACTCCTAACACCTTCTCAAGGAGCTGAGAATGCTTACCACCTATGTATGTAGCACTTAAAAGACTAACAAGATGGTTTATTAGGTGATGAGCTTTCATGGGCCAGACCCACTTCCTCAGATCAAATAGTGGAAGAAAATTGGCACAACCATATGTGTTCATTTTTTTGATTGTATCCTTTGGAATATATGGTTGTGCCAATTTTCTTCCACTATTTGATCTGAGGAAGTGGGTCTGGCCCATGAAAGCTCATCACCTAATAAACCATCTTGTTAGTCTTTTAAGTGCTACATAGTCCTGTTTTTTGTTTCAGCTACACCAAACTAACACGGCTACATTTCTATCACTATACCACCTGTGTAGGTTGTTATCCACCAGGAAAGTGCAAATCAGGCAGAGCCAGAATTACAGCTCCTGAGCTCTCATCTCCCAGTTCTGTGTAGATCCATTAGGCCATGCCACTTCTCTCAATGAGGAAGTCAGCTGTGTAGATCCATTAGGCCATGCCACTTGGCTCAACGAGGAAGTCAGTTGCGGGACTCTAGTTAATAATGCATTAAATAGGGTGCTTGGGTGCATTCATAATGGACTAGAAAATAATGCAAACATGTTGTAATGACATTACATTAATATCTGGATCTTATGAAGTGCTCTTCAGATGCAGATTTCACAGTACTCTGCAAAATAGATCAGTAGTATCTCCATTTAAGAGATGGGGAAACTGAGGCTCAGAGACAGACACACCTCGCCCCACATTACTCAGCAGGTCCATAGCAAATCTGGGAATCAAACCTCATATTTCCCAGTCCAAGGTTGCTCCCAGGTCTGCAGCTGCATGGTCGGTTTGGTTATATCCCGGGAAAGCTCAAACTGAGATTCTGAAGCTCAAAAAGGCCAGCAAAACTGTTTGGAGACATAGAGGGACTTAAATATGAGAGACAGGTGCAAAAGCTAGGGTTATTTCACCTCAAAAAAGGAAACATGGAGATTTAGCTTGGGCACATAAGATTATGAACATTAAAAAGATATAAATAATATGACTACATTTAACCTGATCAAAGGGTCACTCAAGGAAATTAATGGAAAGCAAATTTCAAACCAATAAGGAAATATTCAAACCACGATGGAATCTACCACTGCAAGAGGACAACGCATTAAATAGGAGGTTCTAAAAATGGACTGGATCGTTTTTTGGCTAACATTGGTAACTGTGAAATGTGAAGATGGGGATTGAATTTTGTGTTTTTATGGCCCCCATCTATATTACCTCTGCCATCGGAGAGCAATTCTTCTTTCGGCCCTCCCCCCACCTGGAGCAACACTGCAGAATTGAGCAAGTGCTGACTCTTCCGCTGACGTACTAAACCTTGGCTAGTGCCTGAGTCAGGACCATGGGCTGATCCAGAACGGCCAAGCCTCAATTCCAACGGG